CTGGGATATACAGGGACCTTGGACAAGAGTGAAATCTTTGATGCACAATGATGCCGATGTGTGGAAGCATTATCCTCGACTCTCCCGATGGGTGCACTGGCTCTCTGACCAGCTTTCCTTTTCTTCCCTCCAGGAAACAAGCACATTTGATGTTCTGTGCTGCCTGGAGGGTTGTGGTGCCAGTTCATCCAGGCTTCATGGGACTCTCAGAACAAGAACAAGTGTTACTTGGATCCTAACGGCTCCCTTGGAGGAGGGGGTGAGAAGGCACAGTGTCAATGACACAGACACCTGGAGTCCATTGAAAGCAAATAATGAATTCATTTATTCAATAACAGGGTAGGCCTTATATACCCTCCTCCCAGTGCCCAGTCTGTGTGGTCATCCCTCGTTGGCTGGACATGATCAGGAACTCCAACAGCGCCTGTTGCTAGGCCCTCAGGCAGACCCCAAGTTGGTTCATAAGGAATATGCTATGTGCATGCCTTGGCTACTGGTCTGAGCCAATTTCCCCAACCCTGTGGGCCTGTCCTACTACAAACAAGCTTCTCTTTGAGGCAATCTTTCTGAAGTCTCTTTGCAACCAAAATACTAAACCAAAGGGTGATAGCAACCACTGCTACGTTCCTACTGTCACCTGTCTTGTTCAAGTATTTCCAGATACTATAATGTCTCACTTGGGTCATTGAACGGCCTCCCACTAGTTGCCTGCTTCCTATAGCCTTCCCAACTCTGCCTGCTGGTCCTCCATGCTCTCCACCTGTCCACCTCCCTTCAGTGTTCCTGAGATAGGGCCAACACCCCTGGCCTAACACCCACAGCTATACCATTTCCCATCCTGTTTAAAAGCACCCTTGGCACTGGGCTTTATGGGAGGATTATTTTTCAAGATGCCTATTTTCTGGGGATCAGGCTGTGCTCTCATCATGCCCCAGCTTTGATGGCATGTCTGCAATGAATGTAACCCTGGCATGAGAACCCTTGACTTCAAAGCTCTATCAGTAGTCCAGGCACTCTCCATGTCCAAGAGGCCAGAAATTGGTCAACAGTGCTCAGCTCTCACTTGCTTTGTAAATATGTCCTGCTGCCCTAAGAACAAGCTACAAGAGAGCCTTCGCTCCACCTGCCCGCACTTCCTGGAAAACATGCTCACCTCCTTCAGCTACCACTTTGCCAGCCATGCTCAGCTTCTTTTCTGGTTTCTTGTCGAAGGACATTAAAGTCAGCATGAATCTCCATCCAGGAGCTCAGCTGTCCATAGTTTTCCATTGCTGTCATTTTTAGTAGAAGGAGCCTTCTGTCAAATGGCTGAAAACAAATTCTATGAACATCATCCTCTTCCCAGTCCCTTCCCATGGTGTGTCTGTGTGTCTGTCACACAGTGGGACTTTTTTTTTCTTTCTTTTCTTTCTTTCTTTCTTTCTTTCTTTTTTTTTTTTTTTTTTTTTTGAGACAGAGTTTCTCTTTGTAGCTTTGCACCTTTCCTGGATCTTGCTCTGTAGACCAAGCTGGCCTCAAACTCACAAAGATCCGCCTGCCTCTCACAGTGGGACTTCTTACATAGTGCCAAGCAGCAGAGGAATAGCACTGGTCTCCAGGCAGGAGCTTAGAAGCCCAGCTCCCTCAGGCGTTGGGCCTGACTGCAGAAGTCCCTATCCCATTCCATTTGTTGTGATTCTGAGAGCTTCCTGTGTTGCTATCTGAGTTTGCCATTCTATGCTGTTCTCCATGGCAGAGAAAGCCCTGTGTCCACTCTCAGCTGTACTAAGGACAGCCTCCGGCCCAGGAACTCCTTATATACAGCTCTCTCCCTTAACACATACCATGAAGACGTTGGAGATCTTGAGGCATCCTGACATTGAAAAGGACACAGAGGTCACATTTAGCCCTGGGTCCCACATAATCTTCTCCCATCCTGTGCACCCTGTGAGCTCTCACAACTGAGAAATAGTCATTTTCCTTTACTGAGAAGGGAGTCTTTTCTTGCACACTCTTAAGCAAGTGAGGCAGAAGGCATAATAGCACACACTCTGCTTGGACCACCAACCAGACAGACTTGAAGAACATTCCAGAATTTCTGATATTTAGGCACAGCCCCAAATTTTCCTGCTACTATTACTATTGGTGCTATGGTAATATAGTTCCTGAAAACCTAAATGGACATCTTGCCTAAGCAGGCAAGCCAGCAAGAAATCTGACACTAGCAGAATCCACAATGCACTGGGGCAGGATCTATGCTAACTAAGTGTTCTATGCATGTCATCTCATTTATTCTCCATGACAAGTCTGGGGGCTGTATACTATTATCATCTCCACCCCATTGTACAGATGAGTAAAATGAGGTCAAGAGATTAGAAAAAGTTGCCCCATATTACTAGACCAATAAAGAACAGTATGATCTTTGAAACTCAGGCCAGAGACCCTCTTCTAGACCATGTCTTACTTTTATCCCATGCCTGTTTGCCTTTAAAACCTGAAAGAAGACTCCCTAATAAGGGATCCTGGTCAAGAGCACATTCCTGTCCAATAAAGTAAGATAGGTGTTCAAACGTGCAGGTGTAGAGCCTTTCCTGACTGCTGACACCCAACGGTGGAGATGGAAACAGTTTCTGGGGCTTTGAATGAGGAAGATCCTCCAGGGATCTCCGTGTCTCAGAGGGTGACTTTTCCTACCATACTCCCCTTCTGGCACCAGAGATTGCAAGCTAAACCCCACTAAAAGAGGTCGATTGCTATCCCTGTGACAAGAGCCACCTAATCCTCCCTCTGGGCAGACCATCCATTCCATGCAGGCTGGTCCTTAGGCCAAGCTGACCCCTGACTCCTGCTCCTTCGGCCAATTCTGACTTGACAACTAGGGAGGCCACCCCCTCTTTCTGAACACAGGCTCGGTGCCTAAATAAAAAGATGGCACCTGGACCTTTCTCAAGCATGCTTTCTCTGAGAGCTAACAAGCGTGCTGCCTCTAACAGATTTTGCTCTATTTCCAGGTGATAAATCTGGAATATGCCTGGAACACATTTTCAGTTATGCAAATTCAGTATTCCATGCATCCAAACAGGAGACACATAACACAATTTGAGGAGTATACAGATGTTTGCATAATGCACTGTTTGCACGGTTGCCACAGACAAGCACCTCCGGAGGGCAGCAACAAATTCTGGTTGCAGTCATTTGTCCTGTCTACTCCCTCCCTCCCTTATCCTCTATGCTTTCCTTTCAGGTCTGAAAAGCAAAGATTTAAGTCTGTTTAAAGGTGGTTTTTGAGAGGAAATGCTAGGGAGTCTCCTTCATGACTAGTCCTGGGTGGTTTCCAAATGCAAAATTTCATGACGGATTCCGAGGATTTGGAGTGTGGGACTGCCAGCAGTAGGAATGGAGGAAAGACTTTGTGAGCTGAAGTTCCCAGGGGAGAAGTGCCATGCCTATGCTAAAGATTCTGCAAGGCTGGGTGACTCATTGGAAGATGACTGTGAAGTGATTTGTGCTACAGATCCAGAGCCAGAGTTTCTTAGGCTAGTGGTTCTCAACATGTGGGTTATGACCCCTTGGAGTCGAACAACCTTCCATAGGAACTATATTAAAGGGTCACACACAGCATTAGGAAGGTAGAGAACCACTCTCTTAGGCTGTCTCTAGTTTTCTTAATAGCCATTCTGTGCCTAGCTCTGTGTTCAATGGAACATTCTTTCAACTGTCACCTAAAACTGTTTCCATCTATTAGCTTAGCAGACTACTTTTGTCTACCTATCTAAAAGCAAATGCTGTCATCAGAGAGCAACTTGAAACTATAACAATGCTCTCCTGTTTTGCTGTGACCCACTCACCATGGCCCCTACCCACGAATGTGGTAAATTCCTTGTTGATTCCTTTTCGTTCTGAAACTATAAAAAGCTCATGGAGCTTCTTCCACATTGGAATCTCTTACTAGTACCAGCCCAAATCTGTGTTCTCAACCCATGATCTTTCCTATTTGGCTCAGAACCCTTTGAAGTGAGAGCTGTATTTTGTGTGACTAGCTCCTTATAGGTACTGGTGGGTTTCCATCTTGACTTGATGGGATTACATATGGCAAAATATATTAAGCTGTATTTACTGACTTCTTTCAATAGTGACTTTTTAAACTTTTTAGACAATAATTATTCACATTTATGGGACACAAATAGTTCAATGTATGTATCTAATGTGTAATGACCGAATCAAGACAAGTATCATGCTCATCTCTTTAAAGTATGTTGATATTCTATACCCCATGTATACTATTAACACATTCTGGAGCATTCCTGGTTCGATACCACAGCTATTGCCTGGCCAGGGAAGGTGGGAAGCTCCTTAAATACCACAAAAGAGGAATTCCCCACTAGATAGATTTACACCCTTCCAGGAGTGGCCGTGCTGTGTCCAGAGGCTTCAGGGATGGGAGAAACAGCACAGAGCCTCCAGGAGGGACCTGGGAAGCTGAGCTAGTCCACACTCCCCAGCTGGAAGGAGGCCCAGCTGTCCCTTCAGGAGCTGCTGAAAGAAAGAGCATTCAGGAACCGCCTCCCTGATCTCTGCTGCCATCCCCACAGATTACAGGAGGCAAAATGTGTTCTTTATAAAGCCTCCCCTAACGTTTCATTAGCTTGCCTTTTTTTTTAATGAAAAAACTAATCACAAGAAACCACAAGAAATCCCCTGGCTAGATCTGAAATCTCTCCAGGGTGGCCAAATGTGGCTGAACCCAGACCAAATAAAGATGTTTACTGACAGCCTAATAAACAAATGGGCCCCATTGGATGTAACCTTGATGAATGGAGCATCCAGGTGTTTTCACTAATGGCAATAAGCACTACAACCCAAAGTATTTCTGTTTCAAGTATAATGCATTATTAGGCCATTAGAGGCTGAGCACAGAGGACCATTTGGACACAGCCCTATCAATAATGCCGCTTCCCAGCCTGCATTTAGGCCCAGGGAATTAGTCATCCTGATATTCTATTTAATAAAACCTCAAGAAGAAGCATCAAAAATCACATTACATTTTAACAGGGTTACAGCAGCCCAGGAGAACCACAAGTTTAATTTTCATAAGAGCATTCATTCCTCAATTATGTCAAACATGAAAATGTAAATGGAAAATTTAATGCTAACAATATCCCTCAAAGCACATTGGCAGGTAAGGCGCATTATGTTGAGTGGATGCTGGCTGCATATCAAGCAGCCCCAGAGTAAGGCTGAGGGGACCGAGAGGAGGGGCCTGCGGGTCTCTTGGCTGCACTGTCTCTGGAAAAGCTGCAGCTTCGAAGGCAGGCGTGCAGAAGCTCCTCCAGCAGCACCGTGGAGCTGAGGAGTCCTGGCGGATGGTGGGGTCTCTGGCGCCCGCTTGGGGTGTTTCCTTGTGAGAACTGAAAGCTTAGCTGACTCGTTCAATCTGGCAGCAGCTGGACGGCAGGCAGCAAGTCATCCCAGGACCCCAGCAGAAGGCAGTCTCCAGGACACTATCAGGAATGTCGTGGGGTGTGAGACAGGAATGTCTGTTTTAAACAAAATTTCATGTTAGCTATGCACGCCAGGACAAGACCTGTTTTCTATCCAAGACTGTAGCCAACGGAAGGGCATGCCATTTCTGTCTGTAGCTGAAGCCACTGACAGCAGTCACCAAAGGGTTTCACCCCCTCTCTACAAAGAAACCAATTTCCGAAGAAGCCGATGATGGTTATGTTTATAAGTGTATCTGTTTGTACAAATATATGCTAAAATTCAGGCATTAGGTCTGTATTGATACACAAAAGAAGGTAGTTAAAAGACTATACACCAAATTACTAAGGTTATCTAATGATCCTATATGACTTATGTAAGCAAAACAATAACACAATTAACTATAAATCCCAAATGGACGGACGACATCTAGACATAGACAGAGCCATCTCTCTGATGACAAGTACTTGTGCCATTCCACAGTTGATCTGTGCCGTAATTAAATCAAAATCTTCATGTGGGAGCAGAAAGCGGGCCCAGATAGAAAGAGAACAATGGGATAGGACAAAGCCAGATGTGCCCCTGGATGAAGTACACATCACAAGCGGCACAAGGCTGGCTGCCCGTTCAGGAGAGCCCAGTGACAGCCGCCCTGGAATGACACTCCGGCCAGATTTGAGTAGTCATTTGCCAGATGGACATCAGTAAAGGTCATTTCCCGAAACAGAGGCAGCTTGTGCAAATCACATCAAGTCACATGATTTTCAAGATGTACTATTCTAGAAGGTGAGGGACCTCATGAGATGGAGAAGGAGGCAGGTAAGTGGGGGGGGAGGGGCACCTCAAAGCTTGCAGGCTGTATAGATCATAGCTACAAGTTAGACTGTATTGCAATGCCTGCGTATCCCGATGAGGATTTATTATTTAATTATTTAATGGGGATCTATTATTTATTATTTGAAGACCATCTTGTGACTGAAGGGCCAAAATGAAAGACAGCAGAATACAGGCAGAGACCAGAAAGGGAAGGGAAATGGTGCCAGTGAAGAGAGAGATGAGGGTGCAGGGTGGGGCTGTTCCCAGAAAGCCAGCTGGAAAGGAACACGTGGAAGAAACCGTTAGGCCTAAAACCATTGTAGGCATTGGTTGATTTGGACGAAGGGATGACTGTTGGGATGCAGCTTAGGAATCGGGGAAGTGGCCAGGAAAGCACAAAGGGCAGGGAAGGGCGGGGGGGGGGGGGGAGTGAGGTGGAGTACTGAATTAATTTAGCTATAAAAGCTATAGTATAGACAGTTAAGTTCCAAGTTTTGAAACACTCAAGAAATGAGTTTGGTGGACCCTGTCTCAAAAGGCGGGAGGGGGCCACGGGAAGATCCATCTTCGTTTCTTCTTTACATTTAAACTCCCAGTGCCGCTGCCTCCCTCACAGCTCTGCTTCCGCGTCTCAAAATCTGCAAAGTAAGAGCCTTTTACTTCGGAGGGAGCCGAAGTGAAAATGATAAGGAATGGGCAGAGCGAGAAGCAGCGAAGGCGGCCGAGAAAGAGAGGAGCCCCAGAGGTGGCAATGCGGTTGGGGCTGTGTGCTCCGGACTCGGAGGGCAGCTCTAGGGGAAAGCGGGTGAGACGCTCCTCTAGTCAGGGGCGGATTCCCGCAGGGAAGCAAGCGTCTCAGCTGAGGCACAGACTCTCGCAAAGGAGAGAGAATCCCTGTGCACAGAAAAGCACAATCATCAAACACGGAGGTGCTGTTAGCATACGAGAACACACGGCCCACTGAGATCCTTTGAGTGACTTAAAATAATGTCAAAACTGGAGTAACTCACCAAATACCGGGAAACTTTATGGGAGCCTACTACCAAGCTAGGCCTTAAGAATACTAAGGCAAGTGTCAGGAAGCCATTCACATAGCCTTCCAGTGTTCCATGAAGGCTGGGAGGGTGGGGCCTTACATGTTGAGAAGAAACCAGGGCTTATCAATTTCTCTGGGAGAGGGTCTCACTGACCCTGAACTTGTGATTCTGATTCTCAATTTCCTAGACAAACTAAAGAGGAAACTCCTCAGGTAAAAATGGATCATGACCCACCCCCATTTTCAGCTCTCTCTCTCTCTCTCTCTCTCTCTCTCTCTCTCTCTCTCTCTCTCTCTCTCTCTCTTCATGACTGCAACCTACAGCAAATATTGTCATGAGAAATGGGAATTTCAGCCATGGCAACCTTCACCTCACCTTGGTCGTGCTTGCCTCTCCCTGTCAGCACGGAACATCTATCACATGCTGAGTGTCTTGACTCTGCTTTTCTCTCTGCTGTTAGCATCACAAAGGCAGAAAAGAAATGAACTCACACAGATGCTGTTTGTCAGCTGGGGAGAGGGTGATGTGGGTAACCTAGGAAAGGGGTTGTCAGGGCGTTTCCACGTGGTGGAGCTGAAGACAAGACAGATGCAGGCCCGATGGGCCAAGCACAACACCAGCAAAACAGGAAGACATTTTAACGAGGATCTTCACATTGGGTTACTGCCGCTTAGTCTAGGACAGTAAGCGCTCGGCCTTCCTCCTCATCAACTCTCTCTTCCTCTGTCACTGCTAAGTTAGGGCCACTTGATGAGAAGAGATGGGGTAAGAGCAAGGACAGGCTGCCTTACAACAGAGCCAAGTAGTAAGATGGAAAACAGCTTTTGTGGGGCTTCAGGGACCACCTCTTTTCCAGGCCTCCACCTTCCCAAGTAGAGAAACTCGGACGGTTGGCTCTCGTGGCCATGCCCGCTCCAGAGAGGAGGAAAGAGCTCCTGACTGTATTGGGAGCAAACCTGTTTCTGAGGCCTGCTTGGTATCTCCAGTGCCTGGCAAAGGTCTGGACCACTAGAAGCACTGTGTCTATTCTAGAAAACTGCAAGGTGATGGCTGACAAGGTTGCAAAGGGACACAAAATAGATCTATGATGTGACACTAGATGTCCACCAGTCATTAGCTTCTATTGGCAGGTGTGTCTAGGATGTCCTCTGGAAGATACTCACAGTAACGCAACTCACACACATTCTGAGTGAGAATCAAAACATCAGGAGAAGAGGGAGCAGGGATAAGAAAGGAGGGGTAAGGAGAGAGAGGAGGACAGAAAGAGAATATGAATCACATACCTGGGCCTTTTTGTGCTGAACCTTAAGTTTATAAGAGCAGCACTACCTCATCTTCAGAGTAATTCCATGTGACAATGAGAAAACAGAGTCCAAAAGGCCAAAGGCTGGGCAGAGCTCCTGGGCTGAGGCAACATGTCTGTGGCCACACAGCTGCAGGTCAGAGCCCACATTGTAGCACCTCAGGTCTGCTTCTGACTCTCTGGGCTTCCTGTTAACCCAGCTGGCCGCTCTGTTATTTGTGTTCTGTGTTTATAGTTTATAAACTCGGTTTAGGGTTTCGGCCCTGTATCACAGTAGAAATGTTTGGCTTTTTACTTGGGGCCCAGAAAATGTCAGGAGACTCATCTGCTGGGGCTGGAGTAGGACTTCCTGTGATCAAAGCTTCGCTGCTCAGTCGAGGCAGGGGCATGGATTTTGGAGAAGATCAGCCTTCAGTCTTAGCTCTGCCACACTTCCCTTCAAGGGAAGCATGACATGAGATATTTTACTCCTGAGTCTCAATTTCTCAATCTGGAAGATGGCTCTGGTAGTTGCCACAACCTCGTTAAGTTGTCAAAAATATTAAAATAAATCAAGCACTCTTGCATGCGGTAGACGAGTCAGCCCCCAAAGAAGGTCTGTTCCCCTCCCTCCATTTGAGAAAATTACAGGGAGCAGTCACAGGAGAGGGCACTGTACCTCACAAACCGTAGATAAGCAGCGGCACTAATGTGGGTACTGAGTATTAAAGCCAGGCTTCCTTTCGGCTGGGGGCCGGGGTGGGGGGGATGGCAGCTAAAGCCAGACTTCCTTTGGGAAGGAGGTCTCTTTCTTATTGAGTATCAACTCTTCAGAAGAACCTGCATAACTCCAAACTCTTTGGGGGGAAAGGGGCTTCTGTTATCAGATTTTTTTGAGCTACAGACATTTTCTCCTCACAAACCAGGTGATATGTTTACCCTACAGCCAAATTACTAAAAGAAAATGAGACTCTCTCAACAAGAGTGCCACGTTCTAGCAAGCAGAGCTCTCTCGAAGCCTTGCGAGTGGGTGTCTGATTGAGAGCTTGCAGCAGCCGGACTGGGGCATTCAGGTTACTCTGAGTTGACTCTTCTCCGGTGTGTGGAGTCATTATCTCTGTGGAGGAGATCCAGCTCTGCCCCCAGGAAGCTAACTCACTTATTCTGGCCCAGAAGACTGTTGTGAATCAGATAATTCCATTAGCTGCCCTGCAGTGCTTTTCTGGCCTCGAATGATAGCTCTGGGAACTTAAAGCCCACTCCTAACTTTGAAGACCTGCAATGGCTTATGCCTCAAGGCTCAGCCTCCGAAGTGTCTGTGCCCCAAATACCACCACTTTGGATTTAAACAAGAATTTTATTCTGTCATTTTCAGAAAAATAGTGAGTGCTGTGAGGACATGGATATCACTGTTCTCTTGTCCTTCAGCTGGAGAATGATTCCCACACACCCCAAGTTATAGAAGAGATGATAAAGTACACACACAGAAACCCCAAAACATGTCTGCAGAACAGCAGCCACTCAATGGATACATACTTGGCAATGAACAAGAAGACCATGTTGCAAGAGGAATCATGGAGCTGTACTTAGTTGGAAGACCTACCATTATTGCTGTATGTGCTATCTATCAGATATTACTTTCAGTAGACATAGACCATTAAAATGTATAGCCAAGGAAGACTGCATTTGGACATGTCTGTTACTGTTATAATCAATATAGCAAAATAACTGATAGGAAACCACTGACGAATATTGTGCCCATTTTATGGACGGACAAGCAATATTTCATAGGTGAAATAATTTGCTGGAGTAATTCATAAGTACGTAAGGAGGTATTTGAACAGTATCTTTTGAGTATACACTGCTTGGTGGGTACTTAACATACATTGGTTCTTTTGAGATATGAGCTCATAATGAAGCTGAAGATTATCAACCTGGTTTAACAGTGGAGAACAAAAGCTCGGTAAATATTCAAAAGTGTCCAAGGGACCCAACCCCACGTGATTCTAGTTGCCAAGCCCATGTGCTTTATTTTGACTTTGGAATTTTGAGCTGTGTGCATGCTGCCTGAGCTTTGGAAGAGGGTCTTCATGTGTCAGCGTCCTAAAGCTCACGGATTGTGTTCATCTCTGCACTCTTCTGAGGAATGTCACAGTCCCAGCCACCAAGTAAGCACTCAAGAGACTCAGCACTGCTGTGCTCCCTTTAGAAATGCGATTAGCCTGGACTCACCTGTACTTACGGTGGATGACAGTTGTTATCTCCAGGATTCCCCAGAGAAATAGCAGAACCAAAAGGATAGGTAGGTAGAAGACAGACAGGAAGATTAATAGATATTTAGATAGAATAGAGACAGTATAGATAGATGATAGAGATAAAATTGATGAGTGGTAGACTAGAGATAATGTGGACAGAAGATCTAGAGATAATATAGATAGATGATAGATATATAGGTAAATGACAGATGTGCCTATGTTTATGTCTGTGTGCATAGACATATTGTTGTCTCATGTGACTACAGATGTTGGCAAGTACAATCTACAGGATAGATTGATAAGCCAGAGATCAAAGGAAAGCTGACATACCATTCAAGTCATAAGACTATCTGCTGTGGGATTTCCTCCCTCCTGGAAAAAGCCAATCTTCTGTTTAATTCAGGATATCAGCTGGTTGGGTGAGGTCCACCTACATTGCAGAGGGCAATCTTTACTTGGGGTCCATCAATTTAAATCTTAATCTCATCCAAAAAGACTCTCACAGAAACATTGATTAAAAACACCTTAGTGACATATATCAGAAGATACAAATAAATGAAAAGATACCATGAATTCACGGACTAGAAAAACATACTACTGCTAACATATCCATACCAATGAAAGTCCTTTCCAAAGTCAATGCAATTTCCATCAAGATTCCAATAAAAATTTTCACAGAAATCAAAAACAATCCCAAAACTCACATGGCACCAGGAAAGACTACAAATAGCTAACGCTATTATGAAGAAAAAGAATAAAACTTGAAGTACTGAAGAATTACACTGTCTGCTCTTAATACATACTATAAAGCTATAATAGCCAAAACAAGACTTAGAAATTGCTGAAATAGAGTAGAGAGCTCAGAAATAAATCCTCATGTCTGTAGTTAGCTGCCAAGCACATACATATGTTCCCCCAACAACTGATATTGTAAAATGGGGTATCTACATGCACAAGAAATAAACTGGGTCTTTATTTTGTCCCATATACAATAATCAGCTCAAAATGGATTAAAGACTTCAACCTAAGACCTAAAACTATCATGTTCCCTGGAAGCTTTGCAGGCAAAAGCATGTTGGCATAGGTCTTGGTAAAGTATGCAGACATGACATCAAAAACATAAGCCACAAAGGTAATACAATCAGGGACTACATACATGTGGCCAAAGGGTACATAAAAAACTTCTCAAAATCACTAATAATCCAAAATGCAAGTCAAAGCATAAGGCATTGCCTCACATTGGTTAGAATAACTTTTATTTCAAAGACACCATAGGACTGGAGAGATGGCTCAGTGGTTAAGATAATGCGTTGCTCTTACTGAAGACTCGGGTTCGATTTCCAGCACCCACACTGAGGCTCACAACCATCATTATAACCCCAGTTCCTGGGAATCCAAAGCCCACCCATGACTTCCTAAGGCACTAGGCATGCACATGGTGCACATACATACTTGGAGGTAGAGCATTCATACATGTAAAAGAAAGTAAGTCAAAAGAAAAGACAACATATCAAGTCTTGATAAGGCTGTAACAAAAAATTGCCTATTTCACTGTGGGTGGGAGTGTAAATAAATACGTGCCACTTTATGGAAAACAGTACTTAGTTTTCCAAAAACTGAAAAAAGAACCGTCCCATAATCTCACAATCCCACCACTGAGCAAGTATCCAAAGGTGTGGTGGCAGAAAGGTCACCTGTGTAGTCAGAGAGCTGAAAGAAAAAGACAACGTGTCTCCTGGGTCCACGTCAGCTGGGAACGTGACACCAGCAAGCCAGCTGGAGATGACTGAACTCCCCTGTGCCCTCACGAACCCAGACCAGCATGCACACTGTGCCCCACATGTTCTGTGTCTTCATACCAGTCTCTGGCTTCTCCACATTGTGTAACACTGTCCTCCCCAGGAACAACCATCTTTAGGAAACTGAGGTAACACAATGGAAATGAAATAACTGTAAGAAAGTGCACTCCTGCCATTCTGGGATTTAAAACCCCAAAAGATGGTGGTTTGGTTTGTGGAAAATGTTCAGTTTAAGCTGGTAAAAGGCAAAATGCTGGAGCAGAACGCTGCAAGGGTCAAAGTTCCCACAGTAGAAGTTGCTGCAGACAGCTAGTCCACAGTTAGCTCCAATCCAGTCAAGCGGGGTGATAAGCGAGGGACAGCCCATGCAAACCATAAATCTCCCTGTGAAGAGGCCTTTTATCTGTGTAAAAAAAAATCTAGCAAGGAAATAGGTAATTCTAAAACAGTAGCCTGGGGCATTTACTATCAATAACTGAGTTTTCCAAAGGCGTAGCATGAGTTAATTGAGTGCTCACTTAGAAGGCTGAAGTTACCTCCACATCACTTCCACCCACTTAAGATTGAGAAATCACAATGTTCCCAATGAGAAGCATTGTATAGAATAGGTGTATTGCTGAAGTAAATCTGCTCAAGAACTGCCAGACAGTGAAACTCTACCTGTTCCAGTACCATTTTGCAAACAATAAGTCAAGTAAATATAATTATAACATGAGAACGTTCTCAGTATGGAAGTTCTCATTGTATATAATGGCCTGGCCCATAAATCAACCACCAGTCTAGGGATCTGCTCTACAGAAGTTCTCACTAAGAACTGTGCAATAACCTACATACAAATTGTGTGTGTGTATTCATATTATTTGCATAAACATATATATTTATAACCTACACACATCCAAGTGCTTCTGGGAATCCTCTCTCATCCTCCTCACAAGGTATGACAGGGCTAAATTGGTTACAGCCAATACCTCCGAGGCTGCATTTTGCTATGTTTATAAACTTTTTTTAACCAGTACAAAAGCAGAGTTAAGGCATTCTCAGCATCTGGTAAAGAGAGACCAGGAACTTTTTTTAAATTTCTTTTATTTTTTGAGATTATAATTTTCCCCTTCCCATTTCTCCCTCCAGACTCTCCTATATTCTCTTCCTCAATCTCAAATGTGTGGGCTCTTCCATCACTAATGATTGTGTCATACATACATGTAGATACTTATACATTCCTAAATACATAGATACAACCTGCTTAGTCTGTATAATGTTATTTACATGGAGTTTTCAGGGCTGACCATTTGGTACTGGATAATGGCATACTGGATAAGAGAGCACACACAATGGGTGTGCTCTTCCCTGGGGAAAACAATTTCTCCTGTTCTCAGCATTCCTTACTCATCTAATTTTTTTTCTGTAACATTAATGCCTTTTGGTCTTTCCCCCAAAGTCTGACATATCTGTTGTTGTCCTTGTTCAGCTCATGTTTTGGCAGTCATGTTGGTAAGACTTTATGGGTGTCTCTTCTGACATTCCTAAGAGGCACAATCTCACAGCAAACTCCTTGTTCCTCTGGCTTTTACACTCTCTCTGCCTCCTCTTTCCCAATGTTGCCTGAACCCTAGAAGTGGGTGGTATATTGTAGATGTATGCCTTGGGAATAGGCTCCACAACTCTGCATTTTGATTGGTTGTGGTTTTCTGCAATGGCCTCTGTCTTCTGCAAAAAGAAGTTTTCTTGATTAGGGATAAGGACTGCACTTCTCTGTAGAATATGGACAAATGTTTAGAATGTAGGTAGGGATTATGTTAGTTTAGTGAAGTGGTAGTTATAGGGTCTCCTCCAAGATCCATGACTTCACTAAGCCTGGGTATTTGGCTAGGCTGCCAGTACAGGAAATGATTTTCCTCTTGTTGAGAAGGTTTGGGGGCCAATCAAATTGTATCATATTTTCATTATCCGTGCATCTGTTGAAGGACATTTAAGTAGTTTCCATTTAGTACCTGTGGAGTAGGCTATCAAATTCCTTGAGCAGATGCCCAAGAGTGGGATAGCTAGCTCAAGTGGTAGGTTTATTTTTAGTTTCTTGAGAACTCTCCAAACTGATTTTCAGAGTACACCAGATTGCCTCACTATGACTTGGATTTGGAGTGTCCCCACAAAAAGCTCATGCATTAAAGACTTGGTTCCCAGCTGGGAGCACTGATAAGGGGTGGTTAGGTCATGAATATATTAATCTTATTAACAGATTAATCTTACTTACCTCAGGCTCAGAAATAATGAAGCCAAGTGATCATGGCTAAAAGTTTGGAAACCACAGCCAAGGTAAATTATTCCTTTCTAAGATTTTGTCACAGTGGTGCAAAGCTAACATGTGCCATGAGACACCTTAGTCACCACCCCTAGCCAAGGTTGGGCCTACCAAGTCCCTCGTTTCTCTTGCTGCTTTCCAATGATTTAGCATTTGTACAGCTAGCTGGCAAAGAGCTCTAGGGTTATATGCCTGTGGCCTGGGTGTTAGGAACTCTTTAGAGGAACTCGGATGGATAATATTGGAGAAAAAATGTTCAACCAATAACACCAGTAACCACACAGAAAATTAGTATCTACACAGCTCGAGGCCTAGGACTCCTTCAGTAAGTCCCACTTCGGCATGGCTTTCCTGCTTAGTTTCATCTATCCATACTGTGCTATATGAATTGGTGAACTCAAGACCCTATATCCTCTTTCCACTCATTGCTGCCCCTAACCCCATCCTCTGGCTTCTTCTCTGTGGGATAAAGCTTAAGCCTTTCTAAAGGATATTTTGTAGGTGCCCTGGCTAACAGGGGCTGTCACTGTACCTGGTCACATTTTGCTGCATAAGTTGGTCTGGCCTGTTTCTCTTCTCTTCCCCTTGAGAGTCTCCCATGCCAGCAGAGGTGAGATGAACTCTGCTCCCTGGAGCAGGCTCAGACACCACTTTTTTCTCCAATCATGGAAGCCAGCAGTGTGGGCAGCTCTGTTGACCCTGGACAGCCTGTTTTCCAATTCAGCCTCTTGGATGTCATCACCTCTCCCTACTTTTCCTCCTTGTTTTCTGTTGCTATGATAAATACCATGACCAAAACCAACTTGAGAAGGAAAGATTTCATTCCATCTTCCACTTTACAGTCTGTCATCAAGGGAAGCCAAGGCAGAAAGTCAACTCAAGATGGAAACTGAAGCCGAGACCATGAAGGACTGCTGCTTCCTGGCTTTCTCCCACTTACTCAGCTTCCTTTCTTCACAGCTGGAGCCTAGCTGCCCAGGAATGCCACCACCCCACAGTAGGCTGGACCTCTTTCATCAGTTAGCAATCCTTAAAATACCACACAGACAGACCCTCAGGACAATCTAATGGAGGAAATTCCCCAGTTAAGGTTTCTTCTTCCAACGTGTCTCTTGATTTTGTCCACTTGACACAAACCACCAAGGCCGCTACTATACAGGTTGAAGTCAGACTACAGCTCTGGCCCACAAAGTTTACAACAGAAACAGAAGTCTTCAGAACTGGGGGGGGGGGGGGGCTTGCACTCTCCACAGTCCTTTCGGCTCCTTGATGGTGCGTGTGCACATGTGTTTTACGTGGACAAGAGACTTTTCCTTAGATGGAAATGGTAAG